CCCCCCAGTAGTAGTGGCCAGAAATAAAAATGTGCTGCAGAGAATCATTTTGGCAGGGCAATTCTGGCAGACACCCCCTGAATTAAAAGGGGCTAGTTTCACCTCTGGCCGAAACTGGTTATTGTCTATTTCCTACAGTTGTCCATAAACCATCCGTACAAAGCTTCTATACAGTATGTTGTGCTTCGTACGATTCTACAAATTAATAAATAAGTGTTCTTATTAATTAAGACGCCTACTTATGAATACACAATGTAGATATATAATAATTCAATAATTGTACATCAGTGTGTACTGGTTGGGTTTCTTTACCGTACCGCACGCATTTGTTCACTGATATAAACTCGGGAATGGTAAAGTGTAATTTCAATATATTAACTGAAATAAAAATTTATTTCATACCTAACTTCTGTACTTCTTTACGGTATTCTGCGTCTTTCTCGTTCGTAATTTCGTATGCAATGTGTCCCTACTATATGACGTTACCAATTTTCCACCTTTTCAAAAACTTTTGCCGATAAATAAAAGTTGAAATAATTTTCAAATTTCATTGCCCTATTACTCTGTAAAAACTAGCTGTATGACAAACATACTTGCAGGGAGGTGAGTCCGGGATTGGACGCACCAAGGGTGGCTGAAAGTTTCCCGAACTCACCGAGCAAAGCGATCCCATACACCGCAACATACGACTATATATGCACATTCTATATAGCTCTTTGCGATATTTTTGTCGGTGTTTTGTCAACATTTTCTCGGCCAAAAGAATCACTGGGCTCTTAATACTTCTTTATATACGTCTAGAAAATAGATTTTGTTGCATTTTTTCTTTGGTTTTTCTTCAGTCTCAGTAGGTTAGTCATCAAACGTTCTTTATAAAGTTTAGGTTTATCGGCGTTCGACGAAAGGCAGGTGAGTTCGGACAAAAGCAGGTGAGCTCGACGACAAGCTCACCTGCTCTAAACGAATCAGATATCCGTTTTTAACCTGTGTATGGGATAAGGTTTCAAATCCGTTTTGAGTATTTTCCCCGAGCCGGCGGCGCGAAGCGCCGTGCGAGGGTACTAATTCCCCCCGGCTATTTACACCCGGGGAAACGAAAGCATTGGGGAAGTCTGAAGTTCATCAAATATCGCGGGCGTGGGTCACTGTGCGTGGGTGGTCATCCTCACTGATCTCGAAAATATGGCGGACTGTCATGAATAGCGAACACCGATTGGTCAAATTTAAAATTTGTTGTTGTATGACGAATGACGACTTTAACTGACAGGTACTTCATGAAAATATTTTGCTTTTTCCGCTACAGTTTTTTGTACATTTGCAAAAACATTTGGCAGCTTTAAAAGCAATTAGTTTTATTAAAACTTTTATCAAACAATTACGGTATCAAATACCAATTGAAAAGATATGGAGCCATGAAGAGCGGCAAGGAAACGACAAGAAAGCCGTGCGTCTAGCGAAAAGAAGGGAGCGAAGACGGCAACGTTTGCTCGAGGAGACTGCCGAGGAAAGAGAACCTCGCGTGGGAAAGCGTAGAGAAGCATGGAAAAGACTGCTGAAGCGAAAGGTAAGAAAAGGCTTGTCTTCACAACGCTATGTACCAATGTTACTGTAGCTATACAAGTTGAAGTATGATATTCGACCCTCTATATTTGACTGTTTCTTCACAATTTTCCAATAAAGAGTTTGTGATGACACGCTCAAGTCAGTATAACCAGACTGTATTTTATTTATATCAGTTATCACAGCCACAGGCAATTTTATGCTGTCAAATACCGTCGGTTGCAACTAAAGGTGAACAGTTGCAGATAAAACATTCTCTATTCTCATTAATAAGCCTGTAAAGGTTTCCAGTAGGTCTCTAGCCCAACACGTTCAGACCACACAAAGTTTTTTTTACTTGTTAGTATTGTACACATGGAAAACAACAATTAACTGTTGTTGTTCTTGACAAACATTGGAGATTCTAATCACGCCAATGTTTTTTATGAGCGACTGTTCATCGTTAGTTGCAAGCGACGGTATAACATACTATGAACATTTTTCCGACTGTGACCGAATGTGCAACGATAGCCTCCTCCGCAGGCATCTCACCCGACGAATCGGGTGGTGGGAAAAAGTTTGGTGAGATGCCTGCCATAAATCGACACAAAAATTTGCACTGCGCATACCGGCTCGCGCATAATAAAACTTATTGTGGGAGGGATGGAAAGACATTATGGCTATAATTTGTCATTTGATACTAATATTTTTGGGGAGTGGTGACAGGCTAATTTGCTATCAACATGGCTGTTCGCAAAGATGAAAACGTAAAAGCTCTTGTTGATAAAATATCGAATCTCCCTGCATTTGACCCATCAAATGCACGTGAATGCCACTTCAGTTATGAAGAGGAAGGTTTGTACGTTTCAATTCAAGCAAAGTGTTCTCGGGAGGCAGCAATTAAAATGGGATTGATGTTCGTTGAGTTGAACGCTATATACGAAATGTATCGGAAGACTAGAGCAAAAATCGTTCAAGAAAAGTTGTCATAACCGACTCCAAATTGCGGCTTAAAGAGCTGTACGAAGTCTTAATAGTTAATGGAGAAGTCTTTGTGGAATTAGCCCAGATTTTAGAGCGAGAAGAAGCCGGTGAGACAAGATTTAATCAAAATGACGAAGAAGCGACTGAGATGGACACATTGCTACCTAGTGATTCATTGCCTTCGACATCATTGCAATCTGGAGAAGATTTGCTCGAATCCGCTTTGAAAAAGTACTTCGGTCACGAATCATTCCGACCGCTCCAAAAGGAGACGATTGAAGCAACTTTATCGGGAAAATCTGTTTTAACTGTTGTGGGGACTGGAGGTGGAAAGACTTTGATGTTTCTGTTGCCTGGAATACTTTCTGACAAGTTGTCACTTGTTGTATCACCCATAAAGTCCCTCATCGATGATACGTTGCTGAGATGCCATAATTTGGACATCTCAGTATGTAAATTCACTGGTGATGTACCAATTGAGTTGCAAAAGAAGCAAGTTGAAAACATTCAACAGTATAAGGTGATTCTCGCTACCCCTGAGATGCTCGAGGAGGGAATGTTACTTTATCAAGCGATTGCTGGGCTAGATTTGGGCAGAATTATATTTGATGAGGCTCACACCATCGCAACCTGGGGAAGCACATTCCGTCCTGTATTTAAAGCAGTATGTCTGAACCTTGCAAAGTTGTCATGTCCAAAGCTTCTGCTTAGTGCTACAATGACTTCTAAACTTAAGCAAACCCTAATGGACATATTTGGAAGGTTATTGGTTTTTAGAGAAACTGTTTACCGTGAGAATCTGACTTTTGAGGTTGCAGATAGATCACCAAAGCACATTGATGAAATTGCATCATTTGTTATAGAAAAATGTACAGTTGGACATTGTGGAATAATTTATTGTGTTATTCCACATGACGTTGATAAAATGCATAGTGAATTGTTGAAAAGGGGATTAAATGCTGTAAAATACCATGGTCAATTATCTGATGAAGTTAAACAAGCCAACTTTTCAAAATGGTTAAATGGTGAAGTTTGCATTATGGTAGCGAATTCATCATTTGGTATGGGGATTGACAAGTCTGATGTCAGGTAATGCAACAATTTTATGTTTTATCCAATATGTTAGATATTTCTTATTATAATATAGCATTTGTAAATGTCAACACGGAAACGTCAGAAAATTCCTTTACGTGTACTTCTTTGTGCTATATTATAAAACAAATATAAAACATTTTTTTCTTATTGATATGTAGTTATATCAACACTGCTGGAAATTGGGAAAACTCAAGATTGTGTGAAAACACGACGCCCGTCGTGTTTTCACACAATTTCACATTTTCCCAATTTCCACTTGTGTTGATATAACTGGATGTCAACACAAAAAATGTTAAATGTTTGATATATTGTAAGGCAACTTTGTGGATTTACTGTATGCTTATTAAGTGTTTACAATACCACTATACAAACACTGGTCAATATTAAAATATCTTCAAAGGGAATATATTTAAGAATTATTGAATGAGGTTAAGCATGATATGAAAAATTATCAAACATGAAGATTGTGTTATGTTGATAACACAAATAACAGAGGGCTTTATAAGACTCGGATGAATGTGGAAACTGCATTCTATAATTTATTCATTTCATTGACAATATGAATCAGTGACTGGGTACAGTATATAAAACCATCAGAAATCATGAATTCTACTAAAGACACAGTTCAGCCTTTTGAACGATGTTTTTTAGGCAAATTTCAGCCCTTTTAATTAAAAAAACTAACTAAGAAAATCAATTAAGTATAATTCTGGATCAGCAAACTGCTATATGTCATTTGTTAAGTGTGACTTGTCTAGGGGAGAGCACTCAATGGGTTACCTGATTAAAACTTACTATGGAATAAAAAGGGTTAATTGTATTATAAACAGCATTAATAAATTTTAAATATGTGACTTACACCCGTATTCTAAAAGCTCACTCACACTCAATGAGTGGAGGTTCAATATTGAGTGTTAATGCTGTTTTTGAATAGCTGGAGGGTGAGTAGTCTCATAGTAAGATACGACACTAACCCTCCAGCTATTCAAAAACAGCATTAGCTCAGATTGAACCTCCATTCATTGAGTGTGGGTGAACTTTTAAAATATGGGCGTTAATATTTAGTGTTCATTGTGTTCAATTATTATTATTTTTTTTTTAATTTTTTTTTTATTATCATTAAATATATTTACTGACTTTGTAACCGAAGGTTAAATTACATCAGCTATACTACAAATAATTAAATATAAAGGAGTAACTACTATTTACAATTTAATTTCGAAATAATTTGTGGTAAGAAGGATTTTCTAAAACGTTCTGTTTTACAATAATAATTATTATATTTACAATTTCCCCTCGTATCATAGACCGAAGAGGATTTATTAGGTAAAAATTCATCAAATTTGTGAAGGTTCTCATCTCTCAAAAAGAACTGTTCGCATAAAATCTCACGTCGTTCCTTCAAGGATGGAATATTAATAAGTTCGCGTGCATCGTTATAGCCAAGTTCTGGTAAAATAATTCTCAAAGCTCTTCTTTGAACCCTTTCAATATCATATCTTTCAATATCATTTTCCCTTGGCAAGTATAAAATTATCTGAAATTATACAGAGTAGGATAAAAGGTGGCATTTTATTTGCCATTACTGTGCGACACTCTCCTATTGACAAGTGGGATACATCTACTGTAACGTTCAATCTGCCTCCATATTTTGGCACAAATACTATATAAATCCAAGCATGGCTGCATATGCAATCTTTGAGAAAGTTTTCCCCTGAGCGCCATGCAAATTCTTGCCGCCCCTGAATCGAAGCATATTAGTGTTTAATTCAAATGCATAATTTTTATTTTCAGATATGTTATTCATGCTAGACTCCCAGTTAGTGTGGACGAGTATTATCAGCAGTGTGGTAGAGCTGGAAGAGATGGATTACCAGCTACATGCAAACTCTACCACTCAATCTCAGACAAGAGCACGCTGTATAAACTTTTTCATGGACAAGAAAGCTTTTCATCTCAATGTGAGTTGCTCAATGAACTGGTAGTTATGGTGGAGGATCCTGTCCAATGCAAGCACAGAGCAATTATGGCTTATTTTGGTGAAACACCTGGCAGCTTTCTTTGCCTCACCAACTGTGATAATTGCATTAATCTTGGAAATTTTCAATTAACTGATGGTGTAAGTGATGCCCTAAAAGTTGTTCAAGCCGTTATGGAACTGACAGGTAAAACTTTGTCAATGAACACACTTAAACTGTTCTTAGCCGGAAGTAAGAATAGTGCAGTGGCTCATCTAACTCACTTCACAACATTTGGAGCACTGAAGGAGAAATTTACACCTATGATACTATTATCAAAGTTTTTAAACATTTTAATTGTTCGTGGAATTCTAAGTGAAAAGATTGAAACAAGAGCATATAACAGCATACACAATGAACTTTCGTTGGGACCCAAGGCACACAACTTACTAAACAGTGATTTACCTATTTCAAAATATGAAAAAGTATGAAAATAAATTAATTGTATATATTTTAAACTAACAAGTTTTCTTTTTTGGTAGGGATGCAACTACCTGAAAAATACAAGAATATAGTTAGGGTTGTTGCATCTCTACTACCAACGAAAGTTTGTTATAATTGGCATTACTGTAAGTACACTGGCACAGACCGTTTTGTTAACAAAGTAATTTTTTACATACAATGTACAACACTACAGTATTGTGCATTAATTCCAAAAACGATCATAAATTTTCCGATTCTAAAATTAATCGTATTATATTTTACAAGTCAGTTTATTGTCACTCAAAAATAAATGGCATAAAACAAGATGAACTTTGTTTTTGGTAATGTACATATACTGATGACTTTATTCAACATCATCACGGGACAGAATCATGTATGATGATGAGGTAGCAACAAAATTTAAAATTTACGGTCTCAAAACTCACCTTATTTTAATTTATTTCAACTTCATTAGGGGTTTTTATTGGTGGCTGGCTTAAACACAGTAGTTAATATTACCATAGTGATTAATTACGGATTCCTGAAAGTTTATAGATTACCAACATACGAAAATTATTATGTTAAATTGATACTGTACAATGAAAGTACAATTGGTTTGTTTTGAGGGAAAACACCATGTTCACGTACGTTGCAAATCTTTCTATATATGCGAAATCACATTTTTTTCTTCAACCACTCATTAACTTTGATTCTAAAAAATAGGGCAATAAGGGCATGCTGAAAAAATCGAAACAAAGTAATCATAGTGATATTAGTAATTTTGAAACAATTTCTATTTAGTTGTAATCGAGAAGTTTTATCTGTCAAGCGTATATGGTGCATATTAGTATACAGAGTTTATTTAGATCATATCGTTCGGAAATTTTCGGTGAAGAAAACTTTTAAACTCAAGTTTTGCCTTCGCGTCTCCTTTGGCGTATCCATTGATGTACTTGGGAGGTACCTCATCGCCTGGCACGCATTCCTTTCCTCCTCAAGGGTACCTCTTCACAGATGTTCTATCTTTCCCCTTAAACCACTTCTCCTTCAACGCAAATTGTGCGACTTTCATCTGGTCCAAGGCAGAACTGGGTGTTTTATGTTTTTTCGTAGCATGGATGTTGAAAGCCTCTCTACTTCTATACATTGCCCTGTTCATTTCAAGTAGATTGATGCTGCATGACATTAACTCAACCATATTAAACGATGACTGGGCGCGAGCGAATTGCTTGACAGGTCGTACCAAGTATTCCTCTACCCACTCATCACCAGCAAGCTGTCTTCCAACATTACCGCTTAAGTTGATTGTTCGGTTCTGTTGGTATAGTTTTCTGTACGCGAGTGGCCATTTTGCAATTGAGTTCACTATTTGTGTAAAAGATTCGTCGCGGTAGTTGATTTTTCCCACTTGACAAAAGAGTGCAGGGCACAACATCCAGACCCCTTCAACAGAAAAGCCATTTCCTTGCCGTATAGATTCCTTGTACCATTTAGTTATTGGTACCAGATCGTTAACAATCTCAAGATGATAAGCAGCTTGCTTGTCTTTATTAACGTGGTCAGTCCATTCCTGGAAAGTTTGTAAAAGGATTGCGTTGTGGTTACCTGTAGTTTTTTTACATTTAGATAACTGTTCAGATGACGGGAAAAACGCTGACTTCTGATAGATCTTGATCATCGCTAGGGAAACACCAGCGTCATAGTCCAGCAAAGCTTCTTCGTTGTTGTTGTAATTGTTTTCTTTGAATTTCGACTTGAACGATTTAGGATTTACCGTTGGTCGTTTCATAACATGCTCGGTTACGTGCCAAAAGCCTCCGGGTCCTGCAATTCATGCAATGGATTCGTTCCCGTAACCGCGTGCATGATAGTCACCTCCTCCAGGTGTATGGCAACCATACACATCTGGACATCTATTTGACCATTCTTGTACTGTTACGGTGTTTTTCTGATCACCGACATTAATATTTAAAACACGACCGTAGTTTTGACTAATTTTCTTCTTGCATCTATCAGTATCATGCAGAGTTTAGGTTTGTGTATTGTCATGCGATATGAAATAGGACGCAAAGTAATTCTTTATTGCTGTCTCTTCTGCAATTTTTTCTTCAATCAATGCAACCATGCAGGTGCTCATTTTCCTTCACTTTTGCCACTTCAAGAGGAGGGATTGTATCGACAAATAACTCGTTCTGCAAAGAAGCCCCGATTTCAATCAATTTTTTCGCTGTGTTAAAATGTTCTTTGAGAAGTGCAAGTGTGACTGCAGTTTGACCAATACCATCTCGTGCGTTTATATGTGCCCCAGAGTTTATTAAACCAACAACAAGCTTTGTGTTACCATTTAGTGCTGCTAAGTGCAAAACAGTTCTATCGTATTGGTCTGTCGCTGGATACCAAGTACCCCTAAATTCTTTAACTTTATTATATAGCTCCACATTGCTAGTAGACATGGTCATGGACGTGATATCCCGAAGTGTCTTAAATATACCACTAGTTCTTTCATCCAACTCTTTGTTTACTCCTTCTAGTCCAACATTAGCTCGAAGATCAGTCCAAGAGAACGATTTGTAGTCTGTCATGTCTGAGGGCTTTTGACGAATAAAACCATATATACACTATGATAGTGTATAGATGCGGAAACACGATAGCGTTATTTATTGTATATGCTTTATTTTTACTACCTCCTTTTCCTATATGCGCAAGAATGACGAAACACCTTGCAATGTGCCAATGATCTTAATACTATTCTTCAAAAACAGACCACACACGCACTTGCTGTATGATGTGGTAACAAAATGCTGAAAATCCAGTACGTCTACGTGTTTTATCTACTGAAGGCTGCGTTGTGGGAGACACAATTGCCTATACTAAACAATATATAGACAACACTTCTATGTTTTGAACTCTTCAGACCCCGTCTGTTATATATCGTCTGTATATACCTATGCTGGCTAAAATTGTACCGACTGTTCGACATTTATCTCTTTCGTCATTTCGAAGAAATTTCAATCCACTCAATTTGTATAAAATTGGAATATTTTACCATCAAACTATTCTATATTAATGACAAGTTTTCGGTTGTCAGACTTGCGGCTACGTCTTTGAAGCTGATTATAAAATAAGCTTGCCATTATAAAATAATAGCTGTGTCAGAAATTAAGGGCTCCATTTTATTATCTCTTATCCGCACTTATTCTTAACCGGTACCTATAAGACGTACATTGTATATTATAGACGCACTTCTGACCATACTATACCATTGATTTGACCATTTTTCGCTTAATTCCCGAATCTGAAAACATGTGGCGTATCGCGCATCTATCTAATTTGACAGAAAACGTGTCTGGGGCTTAATATAATCGTTAATTTGACAATAATCACCAGTTAACGAATGAATTAAGGGTCTCTTGAACACACGCGATCATTTTCAATCCCTTCATTGCAAATGCCTAAACTCTTACACAGTTTCTGTTTTTTCTCTGACAACGTATGTTAGTTTGCAAAATTATTTCCTAGTAATAAAGTCAAATGTTACATATATTTAAAAGCTAATCACAGCTTTAGCCGCATATGCGTCACAAATCAAAATGTACAGTATCTGAGTATCTCCTATTGCCGCAGAGGTTCACATCAACTGTGAAGGATTATAATGGCCACAACAAAATGAACGCATCATGTAACGTTACTTAGCGGACGTGTCATGCTAGCGGACGTGACGGGTGCAGAATCACCTTTTTTTTTCACCCGACACAGCCACAGGACCTGGAGGTTTTAATGGTTGTGGTTTAGGCGCGGCATGCGCAGCCTCCCTAATTATTCGCAACTCGTCTTTTATGTTATTACCGCTGAATAAATTACTGTAAACTAGGTGCTCCTCTCCTTAGCATAATCGTTTTATATACCCGCGCATTTTTGGGCATGCGGGTAATTTATGAATGACGGCGGGGCCGAAGCATTATATGTAAATGTAAAGTGTCAAGTATTAATTAAATATATATATATATATATATATATATATATAAGCCTTTGCGGAGGAGATTCGTGAAAGTGTATTTATTTTTACTGTTTCATTTCGTGAAAACTTCGTCATCTTGAGCGTAGCTTAATTTACTATTTTTTTTCCAAAAGCGTGATTAAGGCCATTGATTTTAGTTTGCTGAAAGAGATTGAGATTTGAGAACTCTATATATGACCATCGACTACAATTTTCTGAAGTACTAAAATAGACCACTGTTAAAACACTTTTAAAAAATATTTTAATAAATACTGTACTATTAAATAAACACTAGTCAGAATCCTCACTATTATCGCTGTCACTTTCCCCACAATCTTCCAACATTTCCTCATTATCTACAGGTTCATGCCGTAAGATTTGTTCATATCGTCGTTGTGCCTCTTTATGTCGTTCCAGAGATTTCATAAATGCGTATCGCTCGTACGCACGATCTAAATCAAACTCTTTACCATTAGTATGCAAAGGTAGATACTTTTTATCTCGGCCCGATTTAAAATTGAACTCTCTATTAAAAAGGTCAAGATTTCCAGCCACACCCACAATCTTTACCTGATTTTCTTGCGATATTGGCAACGGGTAAATCTTTGTCGCGTTGTTGGCATATTCAGGAAATTCTGTTAAGGCCGGTGGAACATCTATATCAAACATACGTGAGTTTGAATCCCCACTCGTGGATTGTTTTTAGACCTCGTCTGACGCACACTTCAGTTCTTCTTTAGACAATGTCACAGAATTGAGAGCATTATCCATTTTCTGTAGAAGGTTTCTTTTCTTATACGCGCACCACTTGTCCATATGTTCCTTTGTTAGACTCTATAGAATATATGCACACAATCAAATTCATTTTTACATAATTCAATACACATGAAGTTATTAGAGAGACTTGGGTGCAGGGTATAAAATGCGTTACATTTTACGATAATTTTTTTTTCTCCTAAAATTCTATTTTTAGTTCGCTAATTAGATATATTTACCTATCTTCGTGTCATCATATTTAAGCGAAGAAAGTTTCCTCTGAGGTGTTACAGCAGTATTTTTGTCTTTAAAAACATCTTCAATACCATCGGAGTCAGCCACCCGCCAGCCTCTTACTGTAAAATCCCACATTTTATTTTGTTTCATTTTCTCCTTTTGTAATTTTGACAAACGAAGATGGCGCATACTTGTTCTCTTCATTTGCAAATTATCCTGATAAGTAATAACTGTTTGATCATCTGCCACCCGAAGATTTATGATTTCCTTGTAATTATTCAGTTGTTTTGTTAATACGTTAGTCCTAGAAATTAAGTAAAAGAGAATAAATAGGACAACAACGAACCTTTTCATCAACTATCAACTATAATTGCTGATATATTTAATTATATCAGCAATTATATCGTTACCGGATTTACAGGCTGGTTATTCAGTTACAGGACTGTTTAATTAAATTCTGGTTAGCGTAAATACACAGAATACCCATTGTACAGTCACCTCCCCTCCCCCAAACAAAATATAATAAATTCAAAATGTTCGGGGGATTTAAGCACACTGGCTAGGAACAACGCGAGTGATTACGAATACATGGCGGGGAAGCGCTGACGAGTTTTGGCTTAGTCGAGCCTCTGTCCTAGGAAATTTGCCCCAACAAAAAAATTTGGCCCCCTCCCTCACCAAATTTCCTAGGAAATTCCCCCCCCCCCTGGAGCCTAATTTAAATAGCTTATTTTTAAGTTTAACAACACAGAATTTTATGAGGGTGTTTCTAGATTGTTGTACTAAATTTATATAAAACTTACAAAACTTCGGAGGATTCAGAAAGTCCCAAATGTTGCATGATCTGGATCATTGAAGGGCCGGAACCATAGCACAAGCACACCAAACCAAAAAGAATGGGTATATCATTACCAGCATGTTGGTCGCGCTCATCCATAAGGGAAGCCAATAAATGAATGGAATCTTTCATTTTCATGTCTGCTGTTTTCAAAGTGTTTCTTGACGTGTTTCTAGTCAGTACTAGCTGCTCTAGAATGTTGGTAATCGTGGGACACTGATGGTGAACTTTATGAGCAATATTCGAAAATAGCATTGGATCAAACTTTTCTGCAATGTCAACAACACCTTTGGTTCTTAAACCAAGATTAAGAATTGTTCGCAATGTTTTCACCTCGCCAGTTATTGCGTCCTTTTCAGAAATAGTGAGTAGACCTCCAAGAAGATTGCCACTGCCTATTATTTCTTTGTACGAATATATTATTTCATCTTGAGTAGATATAATAGCACTTGCAGTTTTTTCATACAGCTCAATTTTGTCACCCAATTGACTAAATTGTTCTGCCAAAGCTGTTTTCTCTTGCGCAAAATTCTTGCATGTTACGTCAAGGTTCTGAATCTTTTGCTGTGCAAGACACAAATCGTGTTGTATTTTTGCAAACTGTCCTTTGAGCTCTGTAAAAGAAGATTGTAGAGGCAAATTGACTTATACCTTTGTATGTGTTCATGCAACATATTTATATACAGTATAAATGTGTTCAGTCTTTCATTCTGAAAATTTAAATCAGAAGTCAGGATGAAATCTGATCTCAATCCATAAATATGTAATGAAAATTAATTTGTAAATTATTATTTGAAATCATCTTGTTCTATTAGACTATTGATACAATCATATTTTGAATGATGTATTAAATGAGTCTGTTCTGATCAAAACCTATAATTTGCTATCTGGTTTGGTACACTAGCGGCCTTTTTGGGATTTTAAATGCAATATTAAATGAACTAGTGAATGAGTTAAGAATGTTCAGTTGAGGGTATAATAGCTACATTCTCAGATTCGTCAATTGCATCAGAAGAGATAAATCACACTAGAAATCACAGCTGAAATTGCAAGTGTAAACAGACCTTAAAACAGTTGACATATCTAATCAGCAGTTGAGTCACTGTATGCCCAAGAAAACAAAAACATTTGTACATAAAGCTCTTACCAGGGTTAGACAGATGCAACTGGTCCATCATTAACATCATGCCTTCATTAGGTTCTTCAACACTAGTATCTGTATCAATGTAGGCAAAAGGAGGAAACACAAAATTAATATGTGTTACAGGTAAATTACACTAGAAAGCTGCTTTCTGGTGTTATCGTCAATACATACTGTACACTAGCACAGACCGTTTGAGTTTATCAAAGTTACAGTGCAGACAACATGATAAACAGAGAAATAAATTATTTAATTCAAATAATATCTTACCTGAAAGGAGCAGCTTAGTACGGCATTTGACAGGAGACCTTGGGTGTGGCAGCAAATCATCACCTGAACATGTATTCAATTAAATTAGCATAGATATAAAACTATTGTTTTTGAAAATAATTTTGTGCATGTGCATGTTACAGTAGATGTGAACAATTTCAGATGCAGTAAAATTTCTGGATACAACTAGATACAGCTGTAAGGTACTGTACCACAGAACTACATATAGACATATTTTGAAAAAAAAACATTTAAGCATATTAATTTTACATTACTGTAATGACTACACTACCTTTTGCAACTTTAGATTTTGGCGATCTGCTACTTGGACTAACAGATGGACCAGGCATACCTACGGTATAATATAAAAATTAAGATTACCCACACTGTTACTTTTTGGACATTGTTTGAAAATTTCAATAATAAATTAATACTTTTGCTAGCAAGGGGCCAGGATTAAGAAGGAAGGGAAAAGAAATGTACATTTTGTGTGATGACTAATGTGGTTACTGAATGCTTTTAGATACTTCACATACTCTCTTTAAAAGATACATTTACACACAACCATTAATCAGGGTGATTTCAGGTTTTGATGAAGAATGTTGTTAGTAGTTGATCATGCAATCAGATGACGTTGACAGCATATTTTTCAAACATCATGCAATCAAATATGAATTCGCCTGATTAATCATTGTGTGTAAACATACATTTAATAGATCAGAGAATTTCCATGCAGACTAAACAAATGAATGTCTTTTATAATGTGTAGAAGCAATTGCAATGTCAGTCACGTTACTAACAATATACTGTACTCTATGGTACCCATTTGAATTTGTGTGACAGCCTTTAATTATTCAATTAACCAATTAAGCTGCATAGCCTCCCATTGATGAGTAAAATTGTCTGGCATTAGACAAGTAAAAATATATAAGTAGGGCACACTGGGTGCATTGCTGCTCAATGGGTTAACTAGAGACATTGTCAGATTTTTTGGTTGACCCATTAAGCAGCAGAACTTCCCCATTGATGAGTAAAATTGTCAGCCGTTAGACAAGTAAAAAAAATAAGTAGGGCACACTGGGCTGCATTGAGGCAATGGTTAACACACAAAGTATATTAGGCAGATACAAAAATATTAATGTTGGAGTAAAATTAGGGTGCATTAATTCACAATGACCGATAGAGACATTATAATAATTTTACAGTATAAACAAACTGTAATGTATTTCTAAGCTGTTAATTTTAAGACCATACCAATGATGACAGATGAGTTCCCATCTTCCCCTTGTATTTCCTTTACAGTATCACCCCTCAATGTAACACCTTTATAATATGAGCAGCTGTAAAGAAAGGAAACTGATTTGTTACCTGGCATATAATTTGTATAACTTTCATAAAGAGTGCATTATTTTTCAGAAATAACATACCGCTGTTTCCCCATATGTCTTAATGTACATCCTAAAACTGAGGAGATTATTTTCAAAAGAGTTGTTTTTGACAACCCTTTACATTCTGGCAACTCCTTTTCCAAGATTGATATAATAGTATCACTTGCAAGTTCTTTTCCTTCAACATGAACTACTTTTTCTTTTATTATTTCACTTATCTTGATTTTAAAGGCATAATGTGTAGGATTAACTATAACAAAAAAAAATCACATTTTATCTCTTATTGAATATTTATTTCTCAAAGATGCCATAAGGAAAGAAAGACAGCTCTATAATATACACAGTTGCAGTAGTTGGATGATAATAATATTTCAACATTTTCAAAGAAATGTTCTTGTATTAATATTACAAATCAATTTATATATTTAGACCGAACCTATGCCATTCTATAACTTAACCCATCAGTGTGCAAAATTGTCTGACATTTTACAACAGAATAAAATATTGAAATTGATTGCATTTTGGCACAACTTAATGGGTTCAACATTTTCAAAAAAATGTTCTTGTATTAATATTACAAATCAATTTATATATTTAGACCTAACCTATGCCATTCTATAAATTAACCCATCAGTGTGCAACAGAATAAAATATTGAAATTGAATAAAATATTCAGAATAAAAAACAGAATAAAATATTGAAGTTGATTGCATTTTGGCACAACTTAATGGGTTAAATAAACACATTCATTGGCAGATATACCCGTTGGTTAGTGCAAGACTTGTCCTTCACAAGAAAAATTGTCTGGCATTAGACTAGTAAAGTTGGGTGCGTTTTGACAGATTGCAGCTTAACGGTTTTAACTCTTTCATTTAAAACCAAATAAATTATATTCTTTCCATAACATTAATTCCCCATATGTTGTCATGTCGGCAAACCTCAAAAGTCAAAACTATTTAATTTTTTTTTGCCTGAACACTCAATTTAATGATTTTAATATTCATGATATCAAATTAACATACCTTTCCGTTTCGTTCCTCCTGGTGTGTGTATTACGCTCCTTTCATGTGGTTTGGTTATCAAGGTAGAATGCTCTACCTTTCCAGTCTGACTTATAACATTTCTTTGGTATGATCCTTCCTCGGATCTCTCTTGGGCGAAATCTTTGGTTGTTTCAATATCTGCGGCAAACTTGTTCAATTGTGTTTTTAAATGTTGCGCATCATTTAACTTTATTTGTATCGCCGATTGTTTGTTTCTCACATCCTGCACAACCCTTCGGTAATTTGTACTAGCAATCGGCAATGAACTTTTACTGTATATCGGAATTTTAGACGTATTTGAAGACATTTAATACACAAGCTTCGCTCCTCGCCCGAAGATTTCAAAGTGAATTATGATTAGCGTCAAAAGCCTACTTAGGGGGTGGGGTACATTGACACGGCCACTAAGGTACGTATACATTGACACGTCCATTTTGTTCGATTTATAGCAGGTCTCTCTCCCAGAAAATTTTTTTTCAAACCCATTCGCAGGCTGGAACCCATAGAGAGGCCTGCGGAGGAGGCTAGTGCAACGATATATTTTTCATGAAAGTTTTTATCAATTCCTAAAATTTGTTTATAGTAAAACGGCCTGCTCTGCACCCACTACTCACGATGATTTCATTTAGAAATGCAGTTACCAGGAAAGGAACTGATTATAAAATATGTAAATTTAAAAGCATTGGCTAACAGAATAAAGCGATGTGAAGACAAGGTATAAACTTCTATAATATTTGTTATAAAATCCTATAAATAAACCGATTCAACAATAATTTTGCCTCGAATTTGCATATTCTATGCTGCATGTCAGAGGCTGCATGTTTATATTTTATTTTTATAGCATAAAAATAAAATTGTAATAGTATGAAATAAAATACATTTCTGTTTATTGACAAGTACTTATTTAATGTCTTCTTCATCCAGTGGTCAGAGTAAATTTCTACTTCTTGCAAGTAAATATTTGACAAGCAGTCTGGAATAAGCACAGGAATAAGCACAATAAGCCATTTTATAGTAGCAATATAATATGAAATTTTTTTTCTTTTTCCATGACTTTTAATGCATCAGCCAAATCCAAGTGTGCCCATCCCCCTCGCCCAGCCATTTTCCTGTAAAGCACATCCCTGGGGTTGGGCATTTCCACTCGAAACTTATGCACTTATCAACGGCTTCCCCGGGGGTCGACGACTGGGACACCCCAGGGGGAACCCCCAGGAACAGGAGGGGATTCGTTGTCTTTTGTAAAATATAGTGTCCCTCGGGGAAGGCGAATTGTTTGGGTTTGGTAACAGGCACTGTTAACCCGAGGGATAAACCCGCGGGATTTTGTTTCACATATGGTCAGCGGTATCTAACATATATGTCCAATATAGATATAACCATCGGTTGTCAGGTGGTGAAGTATATTTATATTATATTTTTATTTATTACCTCGAACATGTCTGTCAAATGCATTTAAATATATTTAGCCAAATACTTTGAATTATGTTTCCCACATGAGAACCGTAATGTGAGATATAATATATTCATATTATATTGTTATTTATTACCTCGAACATGTCTGTCAAATGTGTTTAAATATATTCTGTCAAATACTTTGAATTACGTTTCCCACATGAGAACCGTAATGTGAGATATAATATTATATTTTTATATACATAGTTGGCCACAGTATATGTAAGTAATAATAAAATATAGCAACGTAGTATAAGCATCCTACACCGAATGACACCCTTCGACCATCACACACCATCTGACAACTATCTGACAACCATCTGACACACTTCGACCATCATACACAATCTTCATCTGACAACCCTTCTCTGTATAATCACCCTACATTATCATACACCATCTGACAACCAACTGACACACTTTTCATGACCATCATACACCATCATACACCATCTGACAACCCTTCCCTGTACAACCACCTTACACCATCATACACCATCTGACACACTTCGACCATCATACACCATCTTCACCATCAGACATCAGATATCGATGCATGTATTGCATGGACATTACTCGTATCTAAGAATCATTGAGTTCGAATAGTATAAACTTCATCTTACCTTAATTATTTATAATTCAGCGCATGCGCAAAAAAATTCTTTCAAGCGTGCATGCTTTACATGCTTGAACCTGACATTTTTGGACGGTTATTTTAAAATTGTTTACTTTTCTGCTGTATTTTGTATCCAGTTCACCAGTTATATAATATTTTGTTTTTGTTAGGGATGTTATGTTTGCTTTTTTGCCCCGGGGGTAGGGGGCTAGCTGTAACATGATTTTTGTCATTAAACTTTCCCCTGTACCCAGGGGCTTTGTTAATGTTTTGTTCCATCCTCTTAACAAAAGTCCCTGGGTGGTTCGGGGGTTGACCCCCGGGGAAGCCGATGATAAGTGCATTAGCCCCGGCGGGGCTTTTGAAATTAAGGATTTGGAGGTTTTGCGATCACTGATAACTTGATAATAATATAAAACAAAACACTTCTATCTGCAACTTTTACAATCACTGATAACTTGATAATAATTTAAACCAGTCAAGTTGTAGTTTCAATATCTGAGAATAATACATGGGTGCGCGGAAATACCAGCTTTATTTCGAGTGTTGAACATGATATCTCACAAGTGAGCGCAGCGAACGAGTGAGATGTCATGTTCAACACGAAAAATAAATCTGGTATTTCCAACCACCCATGTATTTTTCTGTTTATTATATAAAGGACAGTCTTTGAAAAGCGATAATTTTTACAGAAAAGCGATAATAATTTTTCACATGTGAGATTATCATGAATAATTTCACATGTGACTGTGAGATTATCATTTTTATCAGTGCTCGAAATCTCTATAAAACACTATACATTATAATAAAAATTCATAAATTTGAACCACGCTAGAGCATGACAACAGCAAAATGCTCTAGAGTATGATGCACAATATTTTGGGAGGTGAAATACATGAACAATAAATCAGAGAGTGTTTACTTGAAACTCACTGGGGGGGGGGGCAACACCCCTGATAATTGTTCATGAGGAATTTCAGGTAGATTTCCAGTGCACTTTTAGGTAAATTTAAGTAGATTTGCAGAAGATTTTCAGGGGAGTTCAGGTAATTCTCAGGACATGAGAAAGTGAATTTGCAAAATAACTGTATTTTCGGAAAAATTATTATATGTCCTGAAAATTTTTTGTGCATCTGGAAACATTTTGGTAACCCCCCCCCCCTTCTATCTAACCTCACACACCCCCTGAGACGAAGTGCTCGCAACGGCACTGAGTATACATCTTTTGAAAACAGGCGAGGGGTTATTGCATGCATGTATTTCTAGTAATAATGTAAACTCTCATTTTTTGATAGGGTTTAACAGTTCTTATGTAATATGTTTGAATACCTTATTCTTGGGTTATATTATGTCATTGTCAATTAAGATACGGCCTGGAACTCGTTTAAGCTGTTTATCTTTTTGTGCATGTTTATACAGACAAATAAATTTTTAAAGCAATCATCCAACTCTGTTGACATGAACAACATCATCCATTTGGCGAATCACTCAAACGTGTCGTTGAAATAATAATACCTACCGAAAATTTTCAATGATTTACACACGATATTAAGGCCCTGTCACACTATTGCGTATGGCAGACACAAGCGATTGAAAATTAATGAAATAATTTTCATACCCACAAAAATCCTTTGAAATGCCAGTGTATGAGTATCGTACATCTGGCGTACCTATAACGTATTCAGCGTGTGCCTAGAGTATATGCTTATCGTATAAACCATACGTTCGATACACAAAAAATTTTTGAACATGCTTAAAAAATATTTCTGCCTCGCCGTATGCCAGCGTATGCCACCGTGCGCGACCGTGCTTGAAATGTATACAACCTATGCCTAACGTACCCCTAGGGTATGTCCCGTATACCGGCGTATGAGTGATATTTTTCATACGCTGGCATACGCTAGTACGATACGCAATAGTGTAACAGGGCCTTTAAATCATGATAAAGTTATGCATTATTTTTATTCTTATTTCTTAGATATAAACGAGTGCGAAACTGATCCTTGTGATATTAATGAAATTTGTTTTAATCATTGAAATGAATACATCTGGAATGCTACCTCTGACCGGAAATTTGAAGCCAACTTGAAGGGCAGTCCCAGTCTTTTCATGCATTTGAAGAGTGCTCAATCAGTCAATCTTGATATAAACATGCGTAATCTTACCTCCAGACATGTGTGTCTGGAGGTAAAATCAACCTCGTTCCTAGGGTCTCTCCTTCTGTCATCTGGGAGAAACCCCGGCTGCGGCTGGTCACGTGCCTCCCAGATTCTGGGAGGTTAAATTAACTGTAACTGTGAGAGGGGTGGGAAAGGAGCGTGTTTGTAGCGTTTTAAAATTGCAACTTTGGGTGATGAAATTTACTGTAAATTTGCAACAAGAAATCGTAAAGAGAACTCTTAAATTAATATTTATATCGTGACGTTCTACTCTATAATCTGGTGTCGAGTTACAATTCAAGCAAGTTGGATCAGATTTCATTATAGACTTGCCAAAGAAAGCACGCTTGCGGCGGCTTTCCGCTTGTGCAGCGTGGTAATATTAAACCTACAAGAATATATATATCCAGACCGAACAGTGTGGTTGTTATTTATTCAGTATTAAAGTCTATCCTGATACTCGGACCAAAAGAATTTATTTATTGATGACGAAATAGCGAGATCTTTTGATTTCCGAAATATCGCCAAATGTATCCAGATTGTTGATCTATATAAAGGCCTTATCAAAAAAACTTCCAGCCCGTCAAAAGACTATAAAATTGGCCCTTGGCATTGCTGAAACCAACGATCATGGTATATGTCAAAGTATAGCTGTCTGTTGAAAATCTACGGTATTAAAATCATACACCAAAGATAAGTTAAACGACAAATTATACGTCACTATTTATACATGTCTTTCAATGAGCACTCTTTGGTAGTGTTCACCACCTTTATAAATTTTTAAACAGTTTTCGTTTTGACATGAATAAGCTTTAATTTTTTGCTTTATATGCATTCTTAATAAAACAAGTGAGATTTAAATGTTTTGCTTTGTGAAATAGAATACCGTTATTTTTTAATGGACAGCT